AGCTGTATTCTAACATTTCAGAGCTGGGTCTCTGCCATTAGAATCCCCCTGTTCACAGGACCTGATTCTCTAGTTCTACCGCTTAATGTGAGCGCTACTACACAGAGTCATAATTGCTCATCTGTCGGTGTCCCCTGCACCCAGTCTGGACTGCATGCTCTGCGGGGGCAAGACTGTCCACCATCCTCCCGGGTGCATCCTGGCACCTCCCAGGGAGCCCCCGCACAGGCGGGACTCACCCTTTCCACAAAGTCTACCAAGCAGCAGTCGTGTACCACTTGCTCTGCACTGAAGCTGGAACCCCGAGACCACCTCTCCAGCCAGAGCAGCCTCTTCTGAGTGTGCAGGTTGCTCACTCAGACCCTGGGAGACCTTGAATGTGGGTCTGTGACATCAGAAGGATGGAAAGTGCTGAGGAAGGCATGGGAGGAAATGGAGCTGAAGGTCACATGCACCGATTCTCCTTCGTGGGGTGGGGGACACCGATGCCCACACAGCCTCGGGGCCCACATACCGCCCCGCAGTCCAACGGAGAGCACTGTCAGCCCCACCTGTGGCCCTGCCATAGCCTCATCTGGGATCTACTTATTTGTGAAGTGAAAAGACAAAGTGTTAGTCTATCAGCTGTGTCTGACTCTTTGTGACCCCACGGACTGTATCCCACCAGGCTCCTCTGTGCATGGGGTTCTCCAGGGAAGAATACTGGAGTGGGTCACCAAGCCCTCTGCCAGAAGATCTTCCCGACCCAGAGGTTGAACCTGGGTCTCCGTCATTGCAGGTGGATTCTTTGCCATCTGAGCCACCAAGGAAGCCCTGATCCCAAATCCATACTTATAGAAGCACCTGCCAAGAGGCTGAACCTACAGCATGTGCATCCACTCCTGAGCAAGGTTGTGCTCTCAACTGAGTTAAAGTCGGGGTTACAGTTTTTGCCTTGGAGACAGGATGGAGCCAGGAACTTTTCCTCAACTTGATGAAATTTTAGAAATTTCTCCTGAGTCCTAGGTATGGATAGCAGGCTGGAACTAGGGGTGAAGAGGAAATGCCAGCTCCTGGACAACAGCAGGAAGATGGAGTCCCTCCCGCTTCCTTAAACTGACCCCTGAGGGCGACTCTGGCCAGAGTCCTGCAGGCAGGAGGCAGGGGTGACCTCTGCCCACTCAGGAAGACTCAGATGACCTGTGTTTATTTTTAACTGTTTTTATATAAAATCTGAAAAGCCTTTGGACACTGGGCTCACATCCAAGGTAAGGTGAATAATAAACAGTAAAATAAATAAATAAATAAAAGCATCAGGCCCTAGAGCCCACATGCTGATCTGGGGTCTCCTAGTCTACTCAAACTGTCAGATGTGACCTCCAGAACCTTGTCATTTATAAGCAGCCAGGGAAGTCCCTCATGCTGGGAAGGAAAGATTAAGGGCAGAAGGAGAAGTGGGTGACAGAGGATGAGATGGTTGGATTGGCATCACCAACTCGATGAACATGAGTTTGAGCAAGCTCTGGGAGATGGTGACGGACAAGGAAGCCTGGCGTGCTGAAGTCCATCGGGTCACAAAGAGTCAGACACGACTGAGCGACTGAACAACAAGGGAGCTGGGCCACCAGAGCAGGTCCTGACCTGACATTTACTCACCATGTGACTGTGAACAAGTCCCTTCTACTCTCTGAACCTTGGTTTCCTCATCCATGAAATATGGCTGTGGATGGACCAGATAGTCTCCAAGGAGCCTTGCAGGTCCTGAAAACCACTGCTCATCTTGGACCCTCACCCTGGTCTTGGACATGGAACATGGAGAAGAGCACATGAAACCCAGTCTTAAGGAAAGGACTTAGTTGCTCTCGTGACTTCAGCATTTCCCTTAATAGGACCCTTTAGCTGCATCCAACCATCACAGAGCACCTCCTACGTGCTCTTAACAGCCTCTTCATAAGCCACCTGTAAGGAAACTGTCACTGTCCTCAAGTCACAGGACAGGATTGATGGTGCACTCACCCAGGGGCCTGGGCTATGCAGTCACCAAGGTGTGGGGTTCATCCCAGCCCTCCGCCTCCCCACCTGAGTGTTCTCGAGTGTCCGTGTAGGTCATGGAACCCCACAAAGCCTCAGTTTCCTCACCTGCACAATGGAGATAGTGCCGGCCCCTGTGTCTCATGCAGTTGTTTCAAGGTCTGAATGGAATGGGCTTGTGAAGCACTCAGGAACCATCATCCTGCCTCCCCCCAAACCTCTTCTGAAATCTCTCAGCATGGAGCCTGCTGGTCCTTCCTTGATACGGGGTCCCTGCCTTAGGACCCTCTGACACACAGGCTTGATGGGCCCGCCAGTGGCAAGCGGTCCCGCCTTGGGACTGCACTTCCTCCTGTCATGGTCCACACCCAGGCCCAAGAGCCCAAGGCCACACATTCACGTGGACAGCCCGCACACGTGCACCCACCAAAACCTCATCTGCACTGTCCTCCCCACAGCCTTGAACAACTGCCACCCAGCCAGGCCCCACCGGCCCCGCGTGAACACCCGGAAAGCTGGTCATCGTAGAAGAAGCAACAAGAGCACCAAGCATGACCGCGCTCCTCCCTGTTTCAGACGGTTCACAGAGCGCTGCCATACAGATCATCTGCGGAGGGCAGGGGCTGTGTTTCATTCATCTTAGAGACCCACTGAATAATGCCAGGTATCCAGCAGATACTCAGAAACCACTTCTTGGATGAATAAGTTTGACAACAAGATTTTTAAAAATCACCATCTGTTCTCACACTTATGATCAGTTCTCCATTCTGCTAAGTGTTAAAATGTGCAGCAGTGCATTTCAGTCTTGCAACCACCCCATGAGACACGCTCACTTATCAATCCCTATTTGACCGAAGAGGAAACAGGTTCAGAGATAAGTAAGTGATTCACCCCAGGTCTCAGTCAGTGAGAGACAGACCTGGGATGTGGACTCTGGTTCTAGATCCTGGTTCTCACCCCCTGCATCTGTCTCCTCTTTTTTAGCCAAAAAAGGCAGTGGCTGGCGGCGGGTGGAGGGGGATGGTGCATGGGAGCAGGATGTATATAGTCTGAAAAGTAGATTGATAATGCAATGATTTTTATATTTTGGAAAAACAGGAAAAAAAATCCTATCGTCTTTAAGATACAAACCAGAGAAAGCGAAGACTGGCAAAATCATCTCGTCTGAAGGGACACAAGTCTCTGTCCTACTTCCTGGTTCCTGAGGCACATTCATGATTACTTTCCAATACATTCTCAGCCTCCTTATAGCTCATAACATGAGGCTTGCTGACGTCTCTTCTGTGTTCTTCTAAGTCCCCTCACTCAGGTCTGCCCCCCTCCCACATTTTAGCAGTTGGTTCTTCATCCCACCTACCACCCTGGGAGCCAAGGGGACTATCTTTTGCAGAAGGTCCCAGAGTCATTAAGTTCTTACTTCCTCAGAGGTTTTGTCTCCATGCACGGCCTCCACCAATAACTTAAGAGTAAAGCTTACAAGTAACTGCCTACCAGAAGCTGGCAGTCAGGGACTATGACACAGTCAGGGTGACGCAGGCATTTTTAAAAAGCCCTATTTTCCTCTTTCCCACAAATGAGGAAGCTAATGGTGGCTCAAATGGTAAAGAATGTGCCTGCAGTATGGGAGACCTGGGTTCGATCACTGGGTCAGGAAGATCCTCTGGAGAAGGGAATGACTACCCACTCCAGTATTCTGGCCTGGAGAATTCCATGGACAGAAGAGTCTGGTGGGCTATGACCTATGGGATCACACGGAGTCAGACACGACTGAGCAACTGACGCTGTTCACGGCACTGACACTCAGCCACAGGACTGTGGACTGTGGCCAGCCGAGTCCCTGTAGAAGCAGGTGGCCGCTGCTCAGCTCCGCCCAATGCTGTCAGGCAGGTACCCAAGCCCAGAGGTGCCCAGTCTTTCAACTTTCCAAGGGACAGCAGAATCCTATTGGTTTTTTCACATATTTCAAATGAAATGACCTGTTCTCCATATGTTGGTAAGTAATTCTCCTCCCCTTCTTTTTTTTTTTTAATAAAATACATGAGTGGGCTGGACTTGGCCATGAGCTGTGCACGTGGCCCTTGTGGCACAGACGGTGGCAGCCATCAGATATCCCTCTGCTCCCCTCGCCTCTAAGCCTCCCTGGCAGCTGGTGAGGCCGTGTCTCAGGCTCTGGCCAGCGGGTTGGGAGCGGAAGAGCCGCTGTGACTCAGGCCAGGGCAGCTCAGAGCCTGCTGTCTGCTCCCGTATTTCTTCTCCTATGGTCCCTGGTGGCTCAGCTGTAAAGAAACCACCTGCAATGCAGGAGATGCGGCTTTGATCCCTGGGTCAGGAAGATCCCCTGGAGAAGGGAACAGTAACCTACTCCAGTATTCTTGCCTGGGAAATCCCACAGACAGAGGAACCTGGTGGGCTACATCCATGGAGTCGCGAAGAATCAGACATGACTGATCAAATAAACAACAGACAAACAACAGCGAGGCACTGGAGGCCACGTGGTACAGACAGCACAGAAGGATGGAGGCGGCTGCCCTTCCCCTCACGGACCGCAGGCAGGTGAGATTCCCAGGCCCATCAGTGGAGACAGACAGTGCCACCTGCCCGAGCACACACCTGGAGCCCAGGTCTTTATCACAAAATACTCCATGGTCGCAGTTTAGCACTCCCTGGTTTCTAAAGCACTTCAACTCTCCTTCCCGTATAGGACTCTCAACCCAGGAATAAAATAGGATGAGGCTTTGCTATTTCACAGGTGAGCAAGCCGAGGCACAGAAGGTGGAAGTGGACAACCCTGAGGCGTGTGCCACACAGCTGGTGGACAGGGGATTTCAACTCTGGACTCCAGAGTGCTGCATAATGCTGCTCCTAGCTCCCAGTTCAGGAGCTGGCCTTTGTAACGTGATGCCCCTGGCGCTCTCCGGGTCACCTATGAGCTTGGACGAGGACCACTCGCCCCCTCCCCTCCTGCAGCGAGCTGAAGATCCATCTCTTACCTTTCCCGTGGACTTGGTCCCCTTCCAGATGCAGAAGTAACAGATGGTCCAGGCCGCCAGCAGACACAAGGCCAGCTCCCAGCGAAGGTCCCCAATGTGCTCGATCCCATCCGAGATGGCCAGGACCCGGCGCCTGCAAAACGGAGGGCCCAGAGTCATGGGGGCTGGAGATGGCCCACATGGACCCCACCGTGGGCAGGGGCTAGTGCCGCAGAGGGGCAGGGTCAGGTCACTCAGCCATGTGCCCCCCATTCACCAAGCATCTTCTCTGAGTCATACCAGGGCCAGGTGTGGGGGTCTCAGAAAGGAGCGAGACCCAGCCCCCAGCCGTCCTGGAATCGCCCTGTGGGGTGAATGGGATCGGATCGGGGCTCAGAGATGGCGTATGGAACAGCACAGGAAGAGCTATGTGGAGGACGTCCAGGGGAAGCACTGAACCTACTTCAGGGATCTCGGGAGATGGCAGGACTGTCCACAAACACTCCAGGTCCCTCCCTAAGGGGTGAGGGGTGATGACATGTTCCTGCTGAGCTCAGCTCTGGCCAGAGGACTTGCTGTGGCCAATGGCACACACGGCCCTTCAGATGGCGGCATTCAAAGCCAGGCGGTGTGGTCTGCCCTGTTCCTTCACGTGAGTGTTGCTGTCCTAACAGAAGCATGTGTTCAGGTGGCCCTCTAGAGGCTCTAGTTCATGAGAGGATACGTGAGCCCTCTGGCCACCCTAGGTCAGAACTGCTCTATAAGCAAGAAGGAAACTCTGCTGAAAGACAAATGCTGGATGATGTTACTTGTACGAGGAATCTAAAAATACAGCCAACTAGTACATAAAACCAAAGAGCAGCGGACTCACAGGTACAGAGAACAAGCCAGTAGTTACCAGTGGGGAGAAGGAAAGGGGGAAGGGACAATATAGGGTAGGAGCTTCTTTTAAAAAAATTGTTACGGGGTTATTACGGGACTTCCTTGGTGGCTCAGATGGTAAAGAGTCTTCCTGCAATGCAGGAGACACAGGTTCAATCCCTGGGTTGAGAAGATCCCTTGCAGAAGGGAATGGCTACCCACTGCAGGATTCTTGCCTGGGAAACTCCATGGACAGAGGAGCCTGGTGGGATGCACAGTCCCTGGAATTGCAAAAGAGTCAGATACGACTGAGCGACTAACACACACGGGAATATATAAAGTCATGTGTGTGAAACTTTTCAAAGTTGTAAAGCACTGTAGAATTTAAATAATCATTCATTCACACACACAAAAAAAAACAGAACTCAATTTCTTCAAGCTACTAAGATCTTTGTTACTGCAGCACAACCCAGACTATCCTGACTGCCATGGGGCTCAGAGAAAGCTTTGTGGAAGAAGTGATATTTGAGCTAGAGTTTGAAGGATGACAGAGGTTAGCCAGAAGAGGGAGTGGGTAGAGACAGTTTCAGGTCCAGGGACAAGCACGAGCAATGGCCAGAAAATAGAGCATGGGGTACTTGGGGAACATGGGGGCCCAGAGACCAGAAGGGAAAAGCAGGGCAGATACACAGAGGAAGCCTCACTGGGAGTCCTGAACAGCAGGCCAAGGGGCAGGGGTGTCCAGGGGGCCCAGGCCACAGAATGCATCCAGCCACAGCCTCATTTGGGACTCATCTGTCCTTCAGAGCTGACACAGGCCTGTCTCTCACAGCACATCCTGGGGCTTGTGTTTCTCCAGAGTCAGACTTGCCACACTCCATATTGTGCAGGACCGTGGCAGGAACACAAGCCCCCTCCACACTCGCTCTATGAACCCCATTCTGGCTGCCAAGTCATCCCACTGGACCACGCCAGTCACCTGGGTGCTCTGGGAACGTCCTCTGAGAAAAGCAGCTCCCATCCCACCAAGCATGAAAGCGTCCCTCAGTGTCTATCTCCCTGGGAATCCACTTGGGGCCTGATTCTGCATTAATTACTCAATGACAACAATTAGCGCTGGTCTGCAGGCTCCCTCCAGCCCCAAACCCTGCTGGAGAAATCAGGCAGGCCCCCAGACAAGATTGGGCTGCATGCAGTCAGGGATTTACTCTCAAGGAAGCCAGCTCTCGCTAGACTGATAGCCAGAAAGGAGAACATCTACTTAAATACACATTTATTGAGCACATACTAGGTGCCAGGCACTACATTTATACTGAGGATAAAGAAGTATCCATGGTGCAGCTCTTTCCCTGTACTAGGAGGAGCTGGGCAAAAAGAAGTGCAAGTTGAGAAAGAAAGGAGACAGCTGCTTTGTTATAAGGATTCTTTGTTTCTCATGTCTTAGCAGTCTTTGGCTTTAATTCATTTTAAAGTGAGGGGCTGTAAATGAAACTTTTAGGAATATCTATTCTTACAACACCCTGGAGAAGGAAATGACAACCCGCTCCAGTATTCTTGCCTGGGAAATCCCATGGACAGAGAAGCCTGGCAGGCTATGGTGCACGGGGTCACAAAAAGTCGGATATAACTGAGCAACTGACCACATTCTTATAACCGAGCAGCAAGACCCAGAGCATGGTCCTTGTGGGATGCCTGCCGAAGACATAAAAATCCCTGGGTCCCATCCTGGACCCATCAAGTCTGAATCCGTATGGAATGGTTCTGAGGAAGCTTGCGTTTTGCTACATTTTCCCAACAGTTGCTCGTGAAGGGCAAGGCTTGGCCATCACTGCAGAAGTAGAATTTCCTGGTAATGAAGGAATGACTTAGAAACAGCAAGGGTTTTTTTTTTGAGAGAGAGAGAGAACATGGAGGGAGGGGGGGCTTCTCTAATGCCTCAGACAGTAAAGAATCTGCCTGCAACGCAGGAGACCCAGGTTTGATCTCTGGGTCGGGAAGATCCCCTGGAGAAGGGAATGGCAACCCATTCCAGTATTCTTGCCTGGAGAATTCCATGGACAGAGGAGAATGACGGGCTACAGTCCAAGAGGTCGCGAAGAGTCGGACACGACTGAGTGACTTTCACTACCACTATTACTACTTGAAGAGGGAGTTGGGGTCCTCTGAGAAGTCACTGAAGGGATGCACTGTCTCCCCAGAACAGAGCAATACCCTGCTGTGCCCGCTCACCCCCAAAATTCTGCAGGAACTTGAGGGTGCTCACCGACTTCCTTGTCTCCAGACCAAGAGCCTCGTAGCCGAGGATGCATACTACCACCTGACATACTGCAGGTGATCTCCCCACCCCCAGGCCCTGAAAGCTTCCGGAACATCCATCAGCTGGCGAATGGGAAAGGACAACCTGGAGCAGCAGAGAAAGTTGCTGAGGCAGAGGGAGATGCCTGGGGTACCGAGGACCCAGATCTAGCAGGGTTGCACGCATACACGCACATGCCCTCTGACTGATGTCGTGGTTTTTCTGAACGTAGCGTCTGGAAACAGCGCGGGGACCCAGGGACAAAGAAGGGGTTAGACCTGCCAGGAGCGAGCTGGCGCAGGCCCCCTCTACCACATTTTGGAGCTTGCACACTTTCGAGTCATGCAGCCAGCTTCAGAGCCCTCTCGCTTAATTGAACAATCTAGTTCCCAGAATGGGAAGCACATTACTAAAAGCTATGCGGGATGAATGGCTCTTTTGTTCCACCAGACACTATTTGAAAACATCCTCAAACTATTTTCTTTAGGTTTTACCGGCGCTGACTCTAACTAGCAATGGGCATGAGTTTCTACAGAAAGGAGGCTCGGGGGGTCAGGTTCTCGGCCTGCAGGGCTCTGGGGTTGTTTTCAAACCCACAAGGGCAGCCTTTGAGAGCCTGGGGGCTGGGACACTCAACTCTGGAGACTTGGAGAAGGCACAGCTCTTCCTGGGGGGAAAAAAAAAACTTTCCTAATGACCCTCCCCCGTGAAGCACTGGGACAGAAGAACGGTCTGAATAAAGAAGAGTCTGCTGCCAACACCCTGGCCAAAAAGGACCCGGGAACAGACCTCCCGACACCGTTCAGGGGACAGGAGATGCTGAAGACTGCATGGGGCCCTTCGGAGGCATTCATTGACCTGGGTTATAATGTGCACCTACTATGAGCCAGGCAGGAAAGCAGGTTCTTCAGGTGGCTTTTTTTTTTCAGGTCATTAAGACTATGTCTGGAGATTTCCACCCAGCACTTGGAGGTGTAATGTCTCTGCTTCTCCAGCCCTCAGCACATACAGAAATGCCTGGGCTTGAAACCAAGCTCTGTTCCTGACCAGCTGTGTGACCTCGGGGAAGGGACATCACCCCTTTCCATAGGCTTTCTTTTTGTCATTGTAGTTTTTCTTAGTGTTTTTTTTAACATGTATTTATTTTTAATTGGAGGATAACTGCTTTATAATATTGTGTTGGCTTCTACTATACACCAACATGAATCAGCCATAGGTAAACATATGTCCCCTCCCTCCTGAAACTCCTACCCACCTCCCACCCCATCCCACCCTTCTAGGTGCGATTTGAGCTTCTGGCATCATACAGCAAATTTCCACTGGTTATCTAATTTTATATACAGTAATGTCTATGTTTCAATGCTATTCACTCAATTTGTCCCACCCTCTCCTTCTCCCCAACGCCATGTCCACTGGTCTTCAAGCAGGAACTCATCTTACCCTTCTAACCATCCTTGAGGAAGGTACAACTGTTATCATCACTGCAAAGAAGGGGACACTGACATGCCAGGTGGTCAGGGAACTTGCCCAGAGTCACTGAGAGCAAGTGACAGGGTCGGGATCTGAACCCAGGGACCCTGGCTCCAGAGCCCAGACATTCACCCACGGGGTCTGCTCCTCAGACTCCCCCATGACACAAAAATCACCCCTTCCTCTCTTTACAGATCTAAGGCACGTACCCCAGAGCTACTTCACCTGTCTTCGTGTGCTGGGTAAAAGCAGTTCCCAGCATGCGTCCTTCATGCATTTCTCAATTTATTCAAATGACACTTACTAAGGTGTCTTTAGTGTATCAGGTACTGCACTACACTTGGGCTCACGGTCCACTGGGGGAAGACAGACCAGTGAACAGAGCCGAGTGCGGAGATGGCGAGGACAGGGAAGAGCAGGGGACACTCACTGCAAGTCTGGCCAGTATCAGGACATGGGGGTGGGGTGGGGAGGTCCCGGAGAGCAGCAGGACAGTTAACAAAGAAGAGGGAGGCATTTGGGGGCAG